TCTTGTATTTATATTTAAATTTACTCTTAGTACTGTTAAAGAAGCTTTTCGCAGATTTAATATTTTCACCAAACAAAAAGATGAGACTGCTTTACATCCTAATATTCGTGGTGTTGCATTTGAAATCGTTTTATCTCATGGTGGTGGAGACGAAGAATTTGAAGCTATATTGAAAGTTTATCGTGAAGCCAAGACAGCAGATCAAAAGACAGAAGCATTGACGGGTCTTGGTTTTGCTCAACGTGATGACTTGATTCAACGTGCATTAAAATTCGCAATTTGTGAAGAAGTTAAGAATCAAGATATTATTCATTTATTAATTAGGTAAGTTAATTCAACCGAATTTTCTAAAAATCATGAAGTAATATAGATAGATATATTTGTTTGTTATATCGGTTAATAATGTCTTTTAATTGAATTTATTTATAGTTTGCAATTTAATCATAATTCTCGAAGACTTCTATGGAATTTTGTTAAAGATAATTGGGATCTGGTATGAATATGAATCTATGATTAGAAAAGTGGTATGTTATTTATACTAATAATACATTTCTTTTGTTTGTTTAGATTCATGAAAGATACTCTGAATCTCGTGCTCTTTTTGGGCATGTTATTAAGTATTGTATTCAATTATTTTCATCTGAAGATGACATTGCGGATATCGAGAAATTCTTTTCTAACAAAGATTGTAAAGCATTTGAAAGATCATTACAACAAAGCTTAGAAAACATTCGTGTTAATGCAGCTTGGTTAAAACGTGATTCAAAGGATGTTGAGGATTGGTTGAAAGCTAATGGTTTCTTAAAATGATTTAGTCCTTCTTGTAATTATATAAATGGTTGAGAAAATATCTTAAATTTTATTTATGTTATACTGTATAAAATAAAAATCAATAAATGTTTTGTAAACAATATGATTTTAACTTTTATGACAAAAGGGTTATATTTATTTGAATTATCAATGTTTTCCAATATAAGAAAACTGAGAGAAGTAAATTAATAAGTTGAATTCCAATGATAATTTCCGAGAACGGGATAATAGCAATAAAACTGAATCCCTCCTATCGAAAAAAAAAAAGGCAAACACTTATAAAAAAACCAATATTATTACTTTTTTTCGAAATAATTGGTTTGACAAAAATGATATGATAAAAAGGATTGGTATTAGCGGTAACAAGTCATATTTATTGTAATTTTTTTTTAAAAAAAAAAAAATTGTGGTTTAAACAGTTTAATTTTTGTGTTTTGTAATTAAATAGGTAAGTAAATAAAAATAAAAATAAAAATAATAATAAATAATAAAAAAGATCGTTCTCGGATATTCGGTAAAAATTATTAGACAAATTATGCAACAAAAAGATTTTATCTTGAAATTCTGAACTGTTTTCTTGCTTGATAATATTGAACAAATGCCGGACTAATACAGAATATGAATTAATTTAAAGTTGCAATACTCTCAACTTAACGATATATAAATATTATTTTTTATACAAAAGCGTCCTTAATATATATAGTATGCCTTACTTTATAAAATATTAAGATTGTTATATGTAAAAAAAAAAAAAAGATCAAATATATTTTTTTAATTTCCATATATGGTACAAAATATACACTTTCCATTAACTAATAATAATATACATTTTTTAGCAATCAAAGCAATATACTTACTTATTTATATTATATTATTCGTATTTTGTATTTTTTATTATAATTTTAATTAACATGTTGGTTGTTTAGATCTCCAACTGTTCTTGAGCAACATCGTCATATAATACGTTATCAAAGACTTTAGAACCCTCTTCTTCCGCCGTTTCTTCTACTGCAGTCTTCTCTTCATCGGTAACGTGAGTGCTAATTTCATTATCAGCTTCATATCCGCTCACAGATTCTTCTTCGAATGTTTGTAATCTCTCTGAATATGTCAAAGCATATCCTGGATCCATTGATTGCGGATAGTAGTACATCGGTGGCATTGTAATTTGGATCGGGAGAGGAACACCACAATATTGTGCGGATTGTGTAGCAATTTCAACAAGCCCATATTCGCTAATAGGTTGTCCAGGAACATATGGTGGCGCATAGGAATGTAAAATATTAGGCTCATAACCGTAATCTGCATATGAGCTTCCATTTTTGTGATTAATTGTACCCATGAATGTTGCGTATGGGTAGGCGAGGCCTTCCGGATATGTATATATTGTAGTATTGTGCATAAGCAAGTTAATATTATATTATTTCATGATAAATTACAATAAGTGTTGAACATAATTCTTACCGTGAGGATTTCCTGCGTATGGTGGAATCATTCCAACAGAAGTAGTTGTCGATGCTGGTGGAGGATAATACTATTAAAATATTCAAATCATTATTCATGATGATAATAATGTCGTGTCATAAATTTCTTTGTACAAGAGATCATACCATACTAGGAACGGTGTTGTTTTGCAATAAAGGTACTTCTGGGCCTTTGCCTTTGGGCTCTTGCTTTCCACTCGTGATAGGAACGACTTTGTGAATTCCCATGCCGACTTGTGGATAAAAGATGGGAGTTGTCATTACTGGAATCTCTGGGACGATACTGTTTTTTCGTCCTTTGCATGGAATTTTTTGAGTATTCGCATAGTAATTTTGTCCACGTGACAATTGTGGAAGTCTTATAGTTTGGCGTCCAGAATTGTAATATGAGTCTTGGAAAGCTCTACGTCTTACTTCTTGCTGTTGACGAAGTAATTGAATTTGCTGATTGCGAAATTCCGGGGATTCGCGATATTGTACACGAATAATCCGATCAAAATATTTGCTATTGTGCTGCAATGAATATGGCGATAAATGTTGATTACCTTTAAACAAAATAATAGAAATCATTTCATTTAATTACATACTTCAGCTTTGATCGCGTTTTCAGATGCTTCCTCATCGTTGTAGTTTATGAACGCGAATGCGTTTCGTGGAGGACCTAGTATGATAAAAATTGTTAAATATTGTTGTTATGAAATAAAATATGCTTAAATTATCAAAAGTATACCTGACGCTCGTGAGAATTTTCTTGCTACATATTGAACTTCCTTAATTTCACCATAACGGCTGAATTTTTCAACAAGCAATTCTTTGGTTACTTCGGCCTGGTTAAGCTGGCCAACAAATATCGATCGCTTGTCAATGTCTTCTGGCCCAGGGACTGCCTTTTCTAAATTCGCTGCCCATTCGATTATATAATTACTACCTTGTTGGCGTAGGTTCTAAAAACGAATGAAAAATTAAAAAGTTGGATATAGTACTTAACAAATAATCGACAAAGAAACATACCATATATGCTCTAATAGCATCGTCTCGATAACAGAATTTAACAAAGGCACAGCCTTTGCTCTTGCCAGTTGAATAAGTTCTTAATAAATGGACGTCTTCAGTGTCTCCGTATGGTTCAAGTAGTTCGCGGATATCCTGTTAAATTTATTAAATCGTTACTCATTAATAAGTTTAAATCGATAAAAAAAAAAATTATACCTCTTCATTCATGGTTCTATTTAATCGTCCGACGAATAAGGTACGGTTCACTCGTGCTTGCTCAACACGAATGCGTCGTCCCTCGACAACAGTATTATGAGCTTCAACTAAAGCTTTTCTCGCGTCACATATATTCTAAATTTTTAAAATTCAAATTAGCATGTAATGTTTATCAATTTAAACATTATAAATTTCAAAAAAAAAATATATTAACTTCAAATTGCACGAATGAATAAGGCCGCATTAGCCAATCTTTTAGCACTTTGACATTAAGTAGTGTTCCCCAATTGGAGAAGTGGTTCCATACCGACTTCTGCAACACTTCGTCGGATTTTGTTGAAGGCAAACTAAATAGAATCAAAAAAAAATTACCTATAGTTATGAAAAGAAAAATAGTCACTTAAATAATGTAAAAACAAATCTTACCTAGCTACAAAAAGACAGCCTGCTGGTAACCCTCGTTTCGCGTATTGGGTTTCTGAAGCGAGAGCGTTTTCAGCTTCCTCAAACGGAATTTCGGCTTCTTTTTGAATATCTGAATAATTACCTATTAATTATGGCATTTGGCTGAGTAATTTATCCCATAGATATATTTCACTAACCTCTTTCATTATCAGACACATTATGTTCATTAACACATATAACATTTTCAGACTTGTCATTGATGACAAGATTTTCTTCAGTTTTGGGAGTAGTGAATAATTCGTCAGAAGAAACGACTTTCTCATCTTCTGCTTTCTCGGATTCTTCAGGTTGATTTACTTGTATATCCTTTTTATCTTCAATAGATCGATCTAGGATATCAACCTTTGGAGAATCCTGAACGCTCAGCTTTGGTGAGATTTGTTCATCCTTTGCAGTAGATTCGTTTTTCTGTTTGGCAAGTATGGCAGTAATAGTTTTGTCCACAACATTGGGATTCAGAGAATCTACTTCCTCATTGTTAGACTTTGGTGAGATCTGTTTCTTGACATTGGAATCTTTGGTGATATGTATGTTATTGTTAGCCACGTTGGTAGAGTCATTGAAAGTTGATACTGTAGTCGGTGATCGTGACAACTTGTTGCGCCGTGCACGTTTGCGAAGAGCAATATCTGAAGAAACCTGTTGAACAGAAATTTGGACAGTTGATGGTTCCATTTTGTAAATATAAAAATTCTACAAGAAGGAGGAAGTGGATATAGGAAGAAGTAAGTAAGTTAGGATTAGGATCGTGTCAATATTAATAAATAGGTCACATAAATAAAGTAACGCGAAACAAGGCAAGTAATTCTAAAAGCAGATCAGGAGAATTTTTTTGTCGCAAGGTTTTGTGATAAACAGCTGCGAGATTAACCATGAGCTGTTCGAAACGTGTGGGTTATTCAGCGTTTTTGAAAGGTTCTTGTTCGTCAAGTAGTTTATAATAACTGGCGTCGTTCTTGTTTACATTTTTTCGTTCGTTTGTAATGTAAAAAGTACTTACTTGGAAGTTGACAAAATTATTAACAAAAAAGTATGAGACAACAAAAAGTGTGGGATTTGAGTCAAGAAGTAGAAAGGATTGTTTTAGGAGTCGTGAATGATATTTTTGTATTTGATGTTGTTCACAGAGACATTAGTTTGCCTTCAACGTCTCGAGGAAGGAATGTGAAGGGAAAAAAAATTTGGGGTAGGTTAATTGAGGGGGTTTTATAAGTTTAATGAAAATCTAAAAAATTGGTGCCAAAAACAAAAAAATTTACATGAGATGTACCCCAAACATAAGAAAATAAAAAAAAATCTTTTTTTCTTATTTCTTATTTCTTTTTCTTTTTCCTTTTTTTTTTTTTTTTTTCTTGATGAGTAATATCTATTGCGTATTATATTAATTTTTTTATCATACTTTTGTCATATTTAAACGAAAGTTGCTTACGTTGAGTTTTATTTGATTATTTGATTAGTAATAACAGTCATTCGATTTCAAAGTTCCGGTGACTTCGACACTCCGAATTGTTTGCCGTATTATAACGAAAAGGTTTTTCGGATTCAGAGAATTTTATTCGAATGTGACGTATCCTTTGTAATCCTAATGACCC